AGAAATAAAATTTGAATCATACGAAAAGAATAAAAAGTATATTTAACAAATTTAAATTATAATATATACTTTGTCCGAGATAATATTCTTTGCTTAACTTGGTTTAGTAAAGAATGTCTTTAGTCAACCTTATACAATTTTAATATATATATATATATATTTTTTTTATTTTATTTTATTTTATTTTATTTTATTTTATTTATTTATTTTTTAAATTTAATATAGGGTTCGAAATAATGGAGTGGTATAGCTTGACAACCACAACTATAAATTCTTCTTGCTGTTTCATCCCTCTCCAACGTCTTCAGTTTACCACAAAATTCCACGACAATGGCAGTAAAATTAAAACCAGTACTGTCTATCCCCCTCCTCGTTCTCTTCCTCCTCCATTGCACCTTTTTATCCGACGCCACAAACCCCGACGCACTTCCTCTTCTCCTCTTCAAGTCCACCGTCGACCCCTCCAACACCATTCTCACCACCTGGAACGCCACCTCCGACCCTTGCAACTCCGCCTGGTTCGGTGTCTCCTGTCTACACAACCGTGTGTCCCGTCTTGTCCTCGAAAATCTCAGCCTCCGAGGTCCACTTCCACTACCCATTACGTTTTTAACCAACCTCCGCGTTATCAGCTTGAAGAAAAACAGTTTTTTGGGACCCATTCCTGACCTCTCTAATCTTACAAGTCTTAAATTTCTCTACGTTTCTCATAACAAGTTTTCTGGGGACTTTCCGGTTTCAGTGGCTTCACTTCGTAAACTGTACCGATTAGATCTTTCTTACAACAATCTGTCGGGAAATATTCCTGTGAGTTTGAATCACTTGACCCACTTGCTCACTCTGAGGCTGGAGGAAAACGGGTTAACGGGTCCTATTGTGGGTTTGGGCTTGCCAAATTTACAGGATTTCAATGTTTCTGGAAATGGGTTAACCGGTGAAATACCCGGTTCACTCTCGGGATTTCCTATATCGGCGTTTTGGAATAATTCGTTTCTTTGCGGAGCTCCAATGGAGAAATGTAAGAAGACTTCCAACGCCCCGCTTAGCCGGAATACTACTGTTCCTCCATCGCCGATCGCAATGCCCTTGGAAACTAAGCCGCCAGCCAAATCAGAAAACAGTAAGCGTAATAAAACCAGCTGGCTCGCTATAACCACCATTATTCTCGGCGATGTTTTGGCACTCGGCATAGTGTCTCTGATCCTTTATTGTTACTTCTGTCGGAATTATTCCAAGAGAATGTCTGAAAAAACTGATTCCCACGTCGAGAAACTCATATATTCATCCAATCCGTACCCGAGCAGGAGCTCATCCGGGCGGGGTTTTGAACGGGGTAAAATGGTGTTTTTCGACGGGGAGAGGAGGTTCGAGCTTGAGGATTTGCTCAGGGCCTCGGCAGAGATGTTGGGGAAAGGTGGATTTGGGACAGCTTACAAGGCAGTGATGGATGATGGGAATGTGGTGGCTGTGAAAAGATTGAAGGATTTGAATATGAATGGCAGGAAAGAATTTGAGCAGCAAATGGAAGTTTTGGGGAGGCTAAGGCATCCAAATATAGTAAGCTTGAAGGCTTATTGTTTTGCAAAGGATGAGAAATTGTTAGTCCATGAATACATGCCAAATGGGAACTTGTTTTGGCTTCTTCACGGTAACACACCATTTCCCTTTCTATTTCCTTCCATTTTTGCGAGTTCATAATATACTATTTTGTGTGGAACTTTATAGGTAATAGAGGACCAGGAAGAACTCCATTAGATTGGACCACTAGGTTAAGAATTGCAGGTGGAGCAGCTCGAGGATTAGACTTCATTCACAACTCGAACAAGTCGTCTCCTGGACTTGTGCATGGTAACATCAAATCGACAAACATCCTCATCGACAAGGCTGGGAATGCGAGAGTATCTGATTATGGCCTCTCAGTTTTCATGTCACCTTCCTCGGTGCCAAAATCGAACGGTTACCGTGCCCCTGAAACAGTAATAGATGGTAGAAAACTAACCCGAAGATCAGACATCTACTCGTTTGGGGTTCTATTGCTTGAGTTGCTGACAGGAAAATGCCCTTCGGTTGTGGACAATGGGGTACCTGGCTCAGGGAGCAATGGCGTTCTCGACTTGCCTAAGTGGGTGCAGTCTGTGGTGAGAGAGGAGTGGACAGCCGAGGTGTTCGATTTGGAACTCATGAGGTACAAGGATATCGAGGAAGAAATGGTGGGGTTGTTGCAGATAGCGATGGCTTGTACTCAGACTTCACCGGACCATAGGCCAAAGATGAACTATATAGTGAAAATGATAGATGAGCTACGAGGGACGGAGACTCTGAACTCCATTTCCGACTCTCCTGTATGTGAAGACAAAAGCCGAGCAAGTGTGTGATCATCCAGTATGGTAAAAACAGACTGACCTGGGCTGCCAGGGCAGGGCCATCTTGTAAATTGAAGTGTTTCTTGACAAGTTTTGATACAGAAATCCAGAATTCAGTTGGGGTTTGTTGCATTTGATGCTATATTGATCGACAAACTGGAGAATTATTTTTAATGAAGGTCAAGCATACTTTAACTTCTGCCGTTTGCAAACTAGACCATACTACAAAAACGTTCATAAATTTCTATTAGCTAATTAAAGGTTCCACATCTATAAAAGGCTCTTGCATTAGATCATTTTGTTTCCAGAAATTCTTTAAAAACAAAATTGTCAGCACTTGGTATAGTTTCGAAAACGGTTTACTGTGCAGATTGGAAATGTTGAATAGCCAAATTAATTATTATAATTTATAGATAAGGGACATGATTATTTTTAAATATTGGTTGACATCATTCCGATGCTGCTTCTTCTTCTTCTTTATTTTTCAAAACATATATAAACATATGGAATTCTATGTATATACAACTGACTTCCATTTGATCGAGAAGCAGTGAAGTGTACTTTCATCTCCATGCGTTTGGTTCTTGAATGGAATACTGGATTTGAGATCAAAGAACTTGCTTCAAGATTGTTGCACCATAACATACAAGGACTTGAGAAATTTGGACCCATAGTTGCAAAACCAAATCACTTCTGTATAGGCTTAGGCAAGACGAGAATTGTGCGCATTTGCCAAGACAGCGGGTGATATTACACTGATGCACGTTTGATTTGGCACATTTTGTCAAGTTGTCTATCGAGTTTGAACGGACGTGCCAGGAATGAGCGCATCTGACGGAGACGGAAGCCATGCAGCACAGGATTTACTTAATGGCAACATTGTATGGACGGGATTCTCAACAGCGTGCGTGGCATTGCCTAGCTTGCTTTAGTCCAAAATTCGTATGTCACAATTTGTCCACATTTGATGATTAAAATCAAGCACAAAAATGGCAGTTGAAGGCTGTTTGGCAAAGTGCTTGAAAAATGGAGCAATTTGGCTTAGTGGTAGGCTAAAGATTGTGCAACTATCCTTTTGCATTTGGGGGCGTCAACTGCATTATTAAGGGTGCGTTTGATTGCGAGTATGAAAAGAAAATGAATTGTCTAGAACTTATTTGTATGAAAATTATTAATTAAACGTGTTTGATTGATTTAGTTTTCAACCTAAAAAAATATTATATTTATCCATTTTTTTTTAATTGATGAGTAGACGAGAGAGGGGGGATAGATGAGAGAGAGAGAGAGAGAGAAATAGTGAATTATCTAAAAAATAAAAATCACATCTCCCTAAATAACATATTTTCCTTGTTTTTAAAGAAAATATGATTACATGATCAAAAGTATGAAAATATTTTCCTTGAAAAAAATTGCCAATCAAACAGTACAAAACTAGAAAATTAGGTGAAAAACACATTTTTTCATAGAAAATATTGACAATCAAACGCACCCTAAGTGTTGAGGCAACAAGGAAGAAATTTGCGTTGGCCCTACACATAATTCCGTGTATGCTTTGTTATTGTGTAGTAAAGTTGAAAAAAATAAAGTTCCATGTATGTTGTTTAGGGGTGTCCAAAAGTCTCAAACCGAACCTGACCGAATTGAACCGAACTGAAACCGAACCGAATCGAATCAAGCGGTTATTCATAAATTAAATACTCGAACGGGTACCCGAATCGAGAACCGATGTGTTTGGGTCGGGTCTCGAGTCTAGAGCAAGAATTGAAGAACCGAATAAGAATCGAAACTAAATAATTTTTTTATTTTTTATATTAAATTAATTAAATTATTTTATTTTTTTATACAAATTAGCAAATTAATTTAAAAAATTAGATTATTTCATAATTTCAATTTTAAAGCCCAAATCATTTTTAAAATCCATTAGCCCATTTTAATTTGAAGCAAATGAATATACTTTATGTAGTTTTGCTGTAACATTAATAACTATTTTTTGGTATTTGTATGCATTAAATTAATCTTATTAGACGGCTAGTTATTTATATGTTTTTGAATTATGTTACGTTAATTTGTAAAAAGTTACGAATGAAATGTCATTAATTGTATTTATGTAGTGTTGTTGAAAATATTAAAAAATTTAATTATGGTACGGAACCGAACCGAACCAGCCCAAACCGAACCCGAACGATTCCATAATTATATTTGGACCTGACGGGTCCATTTATTAAATATCCGAAAGTTTAGTTTCGGGTCGGGTCGGTTCGGGTCTCTTCAGAATTG